ATGGGGGGCAAGCACGTAACCCCAGCATGTGTCCTTGACCGGAATCGAACCTGGGACCCTTCAGTCCGCAGGCTGACGCTCTACCCACTGAACCAAACCAGCCAGGACATGGCCTTCCTTTCTAGTTAAGGTGAAGGAGCCTCAGAAATCGACACGTTAACTAGGTCTGCAGGGAAATGAGCATGTGACTCGCCACGCAGTGAAGGGACAACCGCTGTCAGAAGCCACCGTACAGCCCCGGGAGACCTCGCTCACACACACAGCTCAGGCGGTGGTCCGGGCTGGACCCTGGTGGACGCAGCTCTCCTCCCGACTCCTGGCACCCGACCCTGAACTCGTCTCACCTGATACAGTTTCTTGGCTCACTTGTCCCTTAAGCTTGGTGATCAGCCAGTCCACTTCTTCCAGGACCTTCTCGGCCTGACTCAGAACCAGCAGCTGTGAAAGGAAGGGATGCCTGCCATGGCCACTGCCCTCGGTGGCCAAACAGAACAGCCATGGCCGCCTGCGGTGGGTCACAGGCCCAGGACCTAAGTCCCTGTAAGTCACCCTCCGGGGGACATACAGTGGGCAGGATGACAGGGCTGTTCCCCATGCTCCGGGATCAGGACTTACACAGACGGTAGGGGCTGCTGTTCGCAAATTCACCAACGCAAAGTGGTTTGTTTTCTCCACCTCGACATCCTGGGGAGCGAGAGAGAATGAGCTGTAACAGCGTAGGCTGTGCCCTGGCCCTCACCCCCAGTGCTGTGCTGAAGGCTGCCCCTCTACCTCGTCTATGTCCCCCAGGTGCCCTCATATGTCCTGGGACAGGTCACGCAGCAGGGCGACAGGGCTCTTATGCGCCACGTGGAGGCTGAAGAGCAGGTTCATTGCGCCCTTGCAAAACAAGGCATCCTCTAGGGCAGGGAGGGAAGAGAATCAGAAGCTGAGTTATCACCCCCTTAGTGCTTCAGGGGAGGGGTGCCCGGCCAGGACACGTAGCTCATCATGTCCTGGCACAACACCCCCCCCTCCCCCAGCTGCCCACTTGGACCAGTAGCTTGCCCACAAACATGCCCTGATCTCCACGTGCCCAAAGGAGGGAGACAGTTCCCAAGATGGGTCACCCGACCGCTGCGTAACCCGCACCCAGAAACCGTCTGCCTCAATCTCCCCAACAACGAAACTGCTACCCTGACCTCACATCCAGTCTTGTCTGATTTTGAACTTGATCTACAGGGGTCATAGAGCAAGTACTCTTTTGTGTCGACAGTGCCAGTGTTCCAGAGTGGATGTGAGCAGAGGTCCCACCGCTCTATGCCCCCCGACACGTGGTGCTGTGTCTCTTTCTCATGTGGGCTCTTCTGCTGAATGCGTAAATGCTACTCGGTGATGATTTTAAATAAAGCTGACAGGACGCGCGGCGGGAAACTCACCCCGGCTGTTTTCCTTGCAGATCTTGGATGTCCAGGACAACATCTGCACAAACTAGAGACCGTTCAGCTATTACAGAAACGGCTGAGACGCATCTACAAGAGCCTAGACCTTCTCCCGTCCGTCTAACCACCCGCCAATACACGGGCCCGGACCTACTGGAACATCTACTTGGAACAGCACAGAGTAGGCCCAAAATTATGAGAATTACTGATACTTTCCTTATAAGATAGCAAACAACTTAATTCCCCAAGTCTATGCCCTCATTAAGGGCCAAATGTCCTGGGATCCCAGTCTGGGTCTCACCCCCAGCCTCCCGCCCCATAACCACGTCCAGGGCTGGAGTTCCTTCCTTCCTCCCCGTGCCCCGCAGCCCTGGGGCATCTCCAAGAACATCAGGCGAGTGGAGAGGGGCAGGAGAGTAAGGTCCTGGCTACAAAGACGCCAGAATTTGCTTTTAGCAGACAAGAGGCCAGAGGAGGTTAGAAGGGAGTAAGCAGAAAATAGAAGAGGTGCCCTAGCCGGTATGGCCTGCGGACTGAAGGGTCCCGGGTCCTACTCCGGTCAAGGGCACATGCCCGGGTTGCGGGCTCCATCCCCAGTGGGGCGTGTGCAGGAAGCAGCTGATCCATGATTCTCTCTCATCACTGATGTTTTCCTCTCTCTCTCCCTTCCTCTCTGAAAGCCATTTAAAAAAATAAAATTTAAAAAGACAAAAACCCAGCATTTTTCTCATATGATAGAGGAGACACACAGAGCTTTCTGCCCAGCAGTTCCTTCGATGGCCTGCAGCCCAAAGGCCCGACAGGCTGGGATACGTAAGAACAAGCCAGCCAGTAGGAACTCCTTTTGCTGTACTGGGGGAACAGTAGATTCAGAGCCTACATCTGAAAGCTCTGTGAACGGAGGCAGACAGGCCTGCAGGTGCTGTGTGAATAGAACCAGCTGGAGGCAGAACACACTTTGGTGTGAGGAGGGGTGAGGACGGGAAAAGGATCTCCATTCGTATGTGCTTCTCCAGGAATAAGGAACTTGAAGGATGCATAAGAAGCTAAGAAAAGGAATGTACTTCTTTGAGGGAGAAGAGGAGCTGGACAGGTGGGCAGCATGAACAGGACAGGAGGAGGCCGTTGACTATAAATGTCTCTATAATTATTGGTCTTCAAATCCTAACACTTATTATCTGTTCAAAATTAAATTTACAAGACAAGGGACTGCCCTGGCTGGTGTGGCTCAGTGGATGCGGCATCAGCCCACGTACTGAAGGGTCCTGGGTTCGGTTCTGGCCAAGAGCACGCACCTCAGTTGTAGGCTTGATTCCCGGCCCTGGTCGGGGCGTGGGCAGGAGGCAACCAATCAATGTGTCTCTCTCACATCGATGTTTCTCTCTGTTTCTCCCCCTCCCTTCCACTCTCTCTAAAAATCAATGGAAAAATATCCTCGGGTGAGGATTAACAAAAAAAGAGCAACAAAGCCCCAAACAAGTGACTACCTGAGATTATGGGGGGAAGTGATTAAAAAAAAACAACTTCCCGCCCTAACCGGTTTGGCTCAGTGGATAGAGCATCAGCCTGTGGATTGAAAGGTCCCAGGTTCGATTCCAGTCAAGGGCATGTACCTTGGTTGCGGGCACATCCCCAGTAGGAGGTGTGCAGGAGGCAGCTGATCGATGTTTCTAACTCTCTGTCCCTCTCCCTTCCTCTCTGTAAAAAATCAATAAAATATATTTAAAAAAACAAACAAAACTTCCCTATGTACATAAGCCTTTCCAAGCCCGTTTATCTTCCCTCAAACGTCCCCCTGCCTGTCGTCATATTTCTTTCCTAGTCCTCCGTCCTTTGCAGCAAAGTTACGGGAGGAAAGAATGAAGGTGGAAGTGAAGTGGGGTGAGTTGTTTGGCTCCAGGATGAAGTAAGTGCTAGCAAAAGGGACTTCTCCGGGCTACCTGGACTGAGGGCAGGAGAATCAGGTCCGCTTCCCAGCACTCACACGGCACCACCCGAGCACCCAGGCTGCGGCCTCTTAAAGACCAGCTGGCCCATAAGTACGGGCGCACACGGGGAGCCTGTCCCCGGGGCTCCATGTCCTCACAGATCAGGAGGCCACGTGGGAGAACACAGCCCGACAGCCAGGACGCTCCCTGTCCTGCTGCTGGGAGCTCCTCCTGAAAGGGGCCGACCCACAACACGTGGCCCTCCTCGTATTCTTCCCTGGGTGTGCACACACTGTCCGTCTGCTGCCACACAACTTCCCTCGGCAGGCTGCTTCCGCTTTGGGATTGCAGCCACACTTTGTGACTCCATCACCTTTTGTTAAACTGCCCCCAAAGTCAGTACCAGCTAACCTTGCTGAGGAAAGCAACTGCTGAATGTAAGCTAAAAATCAATTTTAGCTATATATATATATATATTAGCTAAAAATCAATTATAGCTACACATACATATATGTACACACACATATATATTTTAAGTATGTTAAATATATACATATATTCTTCTTTTTTTAAAAATATATTTTATTGATTTTTTACAGAGAGGAAGGGAGAGAGATAGACAGTTAGAAACATCGATGAGAGAGAAACATCGATCAGCTGTCTCCTGCACATCTCCCACAGGGGATGTGCCCGCAACCCAGGTACATGCCCCCGACCGGAATCAAACCCGGGACCCTTTGGTCCGCAGGCCAACGCTCTATCCACTGAGCCAAACCGGTTTCGGCAATATACATATATTCTTTGTTAAATACACTTTTATTGATTTCAGAGAGAAGGGGAGAGGGAGAGAGAAACATCAATGATGAGAATTATTGATCGGCTGCCTCCTGCACACCCCCACTGGGGATGGAGCCTGCAACCCAGGCATGTGCCCTGATTGGGAATCGAACAGTGACCTCCTGGTTCATAAGTCGACGCTCAACCACTGAGCCACGCTGGCCGGGCAGCTACCTTCCTAACAATTAGCACATTTCCACAGGTTAAGAAGGTCGAGGGCACCCACAGTGCTCCCTGTTCACCCCTGACGGTGGCCAAACGAAAGCAGTGCTCCCGCCTGTGCGGCTGCTTGAGAGGCTGTCAGGGTAGGAGCACCAAGCAGGAAGGGCAACCTAACTGGTCTCACATTAACGAACTCAGGAGCATAATTAAAGGTACAGTCTAAAATAAGCTAGACTTGGAGAGGATATTTAGATACGGTTCTTTTTAATACAGATTTTTTTATTGATTTCAGAGGAAGGGAGAGAGAGAAACATCAATGATGAGAATCATTGATTGGCTGCCTCCTGCACGCCCCCTACTGGGGATCAAGCCCACAACGCGGGCATGTGCCATTGGCCGGAATCGAACCTGGGACCCTTCAGTCCACAGGCTGACGCTCTATCCACTGAGCCAAACAGGCCAGGGCTAGCTGTGTTCTTTTAAGATGCAGCACCCTGCCGTTCTGTGGGATGAGGTGGGACTGCAGGAGGGGCCGTACCTGAGGGGAGGCGGGCTCCAGCAGCCTGGCCAAGCTGGTGAGGACGCTGACGAGGAGCAGGGCTTCCTTGCTGTTAAACTCCTCCTCTTGGCTGCTAAGTAAGTTCAACAGGGACCTCTGAGAAAGGGAAGTACGGACACATGAGCAGACGTTCGTATCAGGGAGGAGAAACATCTCGCCAGAGACCCCCAAGGCTGGGCCAACAGGACTCAAAGAGGACAGAATCTGAAGATAAACTCGATGGAACAGCTAGTTTCCTACCCTGTTTTCCACCATCAATGTGAGCGTCTCTTAAACACTACAGACCCCTCCCCCTGCACATTAGGAAGGACTGTGCACCCGATTCCGGGCGGTTTACAGCTCCCTGCGCCCATCCATCGGCCAGGTTCAGATACCCCACCCACCCCAGCATTCCCTACATCCCTGCCCTGTCTTCCTTTTCTCTGTTCGTCTCCAACCACCTGAATCAACTGTATTTGTCTGCGAGTCTCCTCCCCACTCCAGGTGAGCACCCGGGGGGGGGCGGGGGACGACTCTGTCTCTCTTCTTCCCTCCTGTATCTCCCAGCCCCTGGAACAGAACCTGGCACAGAGCAGAAACTTTACAGTTATTCTGATAGTGTGACAACTAATCAGACGGTTAGACACTGCCCAGCCTTTATGAAACCTGACAAACCCCAATTACGCCAGCGACACAAAACAAAGACGAACTCCACACTTAACAGGCTCCTGGCCATCTGTGTGTCCACTCACACAGTGATCCCCGGGCAGTGACTGCGGCAGGCGGCTGGCTCAGCACACACAGCCCAGTACCCTTTCTGTGCGTTGCCTCCTCTCTAAGAGTGACGTCTGCTTGTTTGGATGATGACCCAGAGAAAACCCCGTCCTACCTGCTCACTGTCGCAGGTTCCCCCCAGCTGGCCCTGCTAACGGCGCCTGTGCGAGGCCCCGGCCAGCCCAGCAGCTTCCCACGGCTGCTCACCTGGAACTGCCGGATCTGGAACGCTGCCCTCTGGGTGACCGTGACTTCCACCTCTTCCTCATTATCCGGGACATCTAGAGGAGGGAGAGAACTCTATCTTCCTTGAAACGAATTATGCGCTTTTAGCCTTTTAGTAGCTGAAAGTTTAGAAAGACAAACGTCCTACAGGCAGACTTGAATATATTCCTAACGTTATGCAATTTCTTCATACTATGTCCCACTTTCCAGCCCCTATTCGTGGTTAAGCACAGTCCAGTACATGCCAATTCTGAACCTACTACATGTCACTTCCTAGCAACTTTAGGACTGAGCTCAGATGACCTATGACAGGTTAATAAACAGAATCAAATAGAATAAGAAAGAGAACCCGGCCCGGCCAGCATGCAGTAACGCACTTTCAGCTGTGCCATTTATGCCAATAATTCCGTCCTGTTCATTCTACCTGCATGGGCGGGTGATGACTGCAGCCATGGAATATTAATGTTCCCTGACAACCCAAAGCTAACTGCGAAGAGAGAAAAACCTGAGGGGAAACCTTCAACACCGAAAACTTACTACCTTGTGTAGTGGAGTAAATAGTGCCCCCCTGCCCGGCCAGTGTTGCTCAGTGGTTGAGCGTTGACCTATGAACCTGGAGGTCACGGTTCGATTCTGGTCAAGGGCACATGCCCAGGTTGCAGGCTTGGTCTTCAGTGTGGGGCGTGCAGGAGGCAGCGATCAATGATTCTCTCTCATCACTGATGTTTCTATCCCTCTCCCCTTTTCCCTTCCTCTCTGAAACCAATGAAAACATATTAAAAAAAAAAGCGATGGCCCGGCCAGCGTCGCTCAGGGGTTGAGCGTAGACCCATGAACCAGGAGGTCACGGTTTGAATCCTGGTAGTAGGCAAACTGCTCATTAATCCTTACAAGCATTGCTTCGTTATTATCATTTACTTAAAAACATACCACAGGGAACTGGAATTTAACATGTGGGGCATGCAGGAGGCAGCCGATCAATGAATCTCTCTCATCATGGATGTTTCTATCTCTCTCTCCCTCTCCCTCCCTCTCTAAAATCAATAAAAAATATAAAAAAAAAGAACGAAAGGAAGAAAGAGAAACCCTGCATGTGTCTCGCAGAGGTGCCCACCCAGCGCGCGGAGGAACTGGGGCACGCGGGGCTGGAAGAAGTGCTGCACGGCGCTGAAGATCCTCTGCAAGCTCTCCAAGCACAGCAGCGAGATGCCCTTCCCCTTCTCCTTCTTCCCCGGCTCCTCCACGGACGTGGGAATGGACGTGTATCTCCAGAGCAAGACCCTGAAGGGGAACAGACACTTTATTTTTATATTTATTTTTTAAAATATATTTTATTGATTTTTTACAGAGAGAAAGGGAGAGAGAGATAGAGAGTCAGAAACATCGATGAGAGAGAAACATCGATCAGCCGCCTCCTGCACATCCCCCACTGGGGATGTGCCCGCAACCCAGGTACATGCCCTTGACCAGAATCGAACCTGGGACCCTTCAGGCCGCAGGCCGACGCTCTATCCACTGAGCCAAACCTGTTTTGGCAAGAGACTTTATTTTTAAAGTCGGCTTCCCTGAGGTGCCGTTTACACACAGTAACACTCACATCCTCCAGAGGTACAGCTCTGTGGGTTTTAGGGAAGTTACCAAGTGTGCAATCATGCCCTCACCAAGGCAGTCCCATCTCCCCAGAAGCTCCTTCGTGCTCCTCTGTAGTCAATGCTCTTCCCCCATTTTCCAAGCAACCACTGATTCCTGTTCCTATGGTTTTACCATTTACAAAATATCACATAAAAATGGTATCACTCAGCATGAATTGGTTTGGCTCAGGGAATAGAGCATCGGCCTGCAGACCAGAGTCCTGGGTTCGATCCCAGTCAAAGGCATGTTCCTTGGTTGCAGGCTCCTCCCCAGCCCGGGCCCTGGTCAGTCGGGGCTCATGCAGGAGGCAACCAATCGATGTGTTTCTCTCACATGGATGTTTCTGTCTCTTCCACTTT